CCAACTCCAAATCCATAATTTGTTCCATAACTGATCTTACACAGGCTACTAAGCACTTAACATAAACAAGTTGGGCAGAAAAAGATGCACTTGAATTATCAAGGTTTTCAAAAAACTAGGGGACCAAAGCCTGATTTGCGTAGTTATCTTTGTTGGATAAAAAACCTCTTTCTTGCAACATTTTCAGAAGATTACTCACTGTATGACTGGCTAGATTTCATTTCCAATACAACAAAGTAGCAATATACACAATTTCAAGAGCTATATCTACACATAAAGTCTATGAAAAATTGGATATCGCTGAGAGTTGATAAACCATCTATTCTTCAAAAAAAATGCAAAAAAATGTCTTTTCTAATTTTTGCACCTATTATAGCGTTTGTTAGCTTTGTGTTCCATTGTTAATATAATTATACTTTTTTAAGGATAAAAATAACACTGCTAGTTCAGAAAAGAGAATTACTAATTTTTTATTGTTCAGTTTATAGACTATTCTTTTGACTAGACCGAAAAGAGAAGTTACCTTAGCATAGACTGCTCCCATTTCATAAGATTTCAGAACGTTCCTAGCCACAAGAATCGGCACCAAATCCTTTAAATTCATTGTTTCCAGCGTTGAGCGAAGGCGATCCAGATTATCTGCCTACAAAGATCAAACATCAGATCACTCTAAAGCAGACCTCCCTCCACGAAAATTCTTTTGACCTACCTGTTCAGCCCGGATATCGGCAAGACTGCGTGAACATGAGATTGACATCGTTGTGAAGAAGTGAGTGCGGTGCGATTGGGGTGTATGGGGAAAACTCTGAAGAAACTAGATAATAAGCAGTGGTTGAAGCTGTAGTTTGACGCGAAAACGATGCACGCAAACATCCGTGTTGGAATGTGGAAATTGGAGGAAAAAATGCAAAAGGAAAACAAATTTCTGAGCAGATGCAGCAGAAAGAAATTCTGTGACGACATACGAATATTGAAGGTTGAAGCATATGAAATGAGAAAAATCTGAGCTCAAGAACGAGAATGTAATTTATCAACATGCCTGCGATATATACCGTAACAAATAATCCATTACATCGAAAATCTCAAGAAAACAGCAGGCAAATAAATTTCAAC